CGAGCTGGGCAGGCCTGTCGCCGTCTGCGACGCGCGGCGCGGGGGTCTCGGGTGTCGACGGAGCCCGCCAGCGGATCCTCTGGAACTCGGCCGCGACTTTGGCGGGGTAGGAGCAACGGTGTAGGCGTGGCCGCGTCCTCGGCTTCGCGGGCCAACGCGAGGCGCGACCCAATCTTCGAGGCGTCCCTGCCACTGGTGCTCCGCAGCGCCTTTTGGTTCGGTGACAATCGCGCGCCGCCTGGGGGGCTTCTGCGAGCCTGGCTTGCGCCGGAGGCCGACGTGCTGGAGCGGCCCGATCGCGGCGACCTGGATGGCGCTTCGCCGATTGGGCTGGGACCTGATCTCTTCCATGCAGATCCGCTCGAACATCGGTGTGGTCTTCAGCTTGCTGCATGTTCGCCCCGAGGTCCTGCGCCGCCGCCTCGCCCTTGGCGTCCAGCGTCGGCAGGGCGCCCGCTCGGCGCGGCGCGTGCGCCTCCCTCTGGCAGGCGGGCGTCTGAGAGGCCAACGTCTACGCCCGCGGAGCTTGCCGGCCAGGCAGTCGGGCGTCATCCTGACGCTGCGGTTGGGGCGTTGCGTCGCGCCCGAGCGTCGTGGGGCGCTGGCGGGCGTCGGCGACGCGAGGCGCCGCGCTTGCGGGCCGCCGTGGGCACCTACTGTCGCGTGTGGTGCCAGTGCCCCAGCGTGCTGACCCAGCCAATTCGTCGCTGGAGACGAGGCAGAAGCTGGCCTACTTTGGAGTGTCAGAGATTTCTGAGTCCACAGATTGCTCGTGTGGTATCGGTTATGTATGTGTGCCGCGCTCTTTTTCTACGCCGCTCGCTGCAGCAACTTTGCCTGTTCTGCTCTGGGGGATCCCGATGCTCGCGCAGATGGCCCGGGCTTCGCGAGCGCCATGCAAGAGTCGGCGCGTTGTGGCTTTTCGGCGGCGCGACAAACCGCCCGCCTCCCTGTTCGCGCCAGCAACGGCGCTGCCCCCCTCGTTCACACGGTCGGGGGAGTCGAGAGATGGGGTGTCTTCCTGCACGCTGGAACATACATTTCGCCGCATCGAGCGCGTCGCGCGGGAATTGTCGTCGCTGGTGGCGGATGGGGTCGTCGTGGGTTCGGTCTCGGGTCGGCGAGGCGCAAGCATGCTCGAATCTGGCGCGGCATTTTCCGCGCGCGGGCCCTCATGTCACAGTTTTTCCCGGGCCCCCGCCCGCGGAACCTTGGGGGTGCCCTTGGCCAGGCGTCCCCTTCAGGTGGTGGGCGGGCAACGCGCGGGCCGACTGGTTCGCGACCTCGGGCCCCGCCAACGCGCGGTGCCCCGCTGATTTATGTTTTTCGTCGGCGGAGCTCTAGCGGGCCCAGGTATTTTTAATGCTCGTGCCCTCGGCCAGTGTTCGGGCGATAGGCTCGGGCCTCCGGCGCGACGGACGAGCTGCCGCCGTGAGTTGGCCTCCCTGTCTGGCGCCTTTGAATGCTCTTGGCGCGGCGCTGCGCGACTTTTTTGCGTGGGTCGAACCGCGCAGGGGAGCTGGCGGGGTCCGCGCGGATGGGTCATTGGCGCACGTGCTCTCTGGCAAGTGCCCTCGCCATCTCCGGCCGACAAGTGAGATGCGCGTTTTAACTGTTGAGCAGTAGAGACTGGTTTTCCACGTATTTCGTCGCGTTTACTGTTGCGATGTCCCTGGCTTTAGCGGCCGCCGATGGGGTCATTAGGCTGGTTTCGCCGGCGTTCGCAGAAAACCATAATTCCGTGTTGAGTTTTTCCGTGCGAAATGACATGCGTTTTTTCGCGCGTGGCCGTGTCGTGGTTTGCGCAAAGTGCGGGGTCTCTTGCATGGGGGTGGGAGGCGTGGGTGCTGGTGTGCGTGTGTGTGTGTGTGTGTGTGTGTGTGTGTGTGTGTGTGTGTGTGTGTGTGTGTGTGTGTGTGTGTGTGTGTGTGTGTGTGTGTGTGTGTGTGTGCGTGGGTGTGGGCGTGGGCGTGGGTGTGGGTGTGGGTGTGGGTCAAGCTAGCCAGCTCGAGCGAGTCAAGCATGGCATGCCCATTCCCACCCGCCCTCCCACAACATAAGAAACAGTGATGGCACAACTGGGGGCTGCGCGGGCATTTCAGTGCGATACCCCAGGACACCGCATTGACGTCCGCGCGGGATGTGCGCCGCGTCCCATTCCCGCCGCGCATTTCGCATCGTCGACGACAAGATTGGCCATGTTGAAAGGAAGAACGGACACGTTCCGCCTTCCCACAACATAAGAAACAATGCTGGCGCAATTGGGTGCTGGCGCGCAGTGGTAGTAGTAGTAGTAGTAGTAGTAGTAGTAGTAGTAGTAGTAGTAGTAGTAGTAGTAGTAGTAGTAGTAGTAGTAGTAGTAGTAGTAGTAGTAGTAGTAGTAGTAGTAGTAGTAGTAGTAGTAGTAGTAGTAGTAGTAGTAGTAGTAGTAGTAGTAGTAGTAGTAGTAGTAGTAGTAGTAGTAGTAGTAGTAGTAGTAGTAGTAGTAGTAGTAGTAGTAGTAGTAGTAGTAGTAGTACTAGTACTAGTACTAGTAGTAGTGGTAGTGGTAGTGTGGTAGTGGTAGTGGTAGTGGTAGTGGTAGTCAGGATGGGAGGGCCCGCAGCCCGCATGGACGTCCGCGCGCGATGTGCGCCACGTCCCATTCCTGCCACATATTTCGCACCGTCGGCGACAAGGCAGGCCATGCTGAGAGGAACAACGGAGACTTCGTATTGATTTGTTACAGTCAGGATGGGCGGGCCCGGATTGACGGACGCGCGCGATGTGCGCCGCGTCCCATATGTGCGCCGCGCCCCACTGCTGCCACATATTTCGCACCGTCGGCGACAAGGCAGGCCATGCTGAAAGGAAAAAGCGAAGACTTTGCACTGACATTTAAAGGTCAAGATGGGCGGGCCCAGATTGATTGCCGCGCGCGATGTGCGCCGCGTCCCATTCCTGCCACGCTTTTCGCATCGTCGGCGACAGGAAAGACGATGTTGAGAAGAAGCAACCACTTTGTATTGATTTTTGTCAGTCCGGATGGGAGGTCCCGGGTTGGGTCGCTTTCGGCCGGAATACGAGATAGGTGGGGGTATATAGTAATAAGGAACAAGGATAAGGGTCTGTGTGTGTGTGGGTAGGGCGTGGGCGTGGGTTTGGGCTTCAGCGTGGGTGTGGGGCGTGGGTGTGGGTGTGGGCGTCTGTGTGGGCGTGGGCGTGGGCGTTGGCTTGGGCGTGGGTGCGAGTGTGGGTGTGTGTTCGAGTGTGGATGTTGCTGTGGGTGTGGGTGTGGGTGTGGGCGTGGGTGTCGGTTTGAGTAGGGCGTGGGCGTGGGCGTGGATCCATGGGCGTGGGCGTGGGCGCGGGCGCGGGCGCGGGCGCGGGCGCAGGCTTTGGCGCTGGCGTGGTCGCGGGCGTGGGCGTCGGCGTGGGCGTGGGCGTTTGCGGGTCTGTGGGCGGGGCGGAGCGGTCTCAACATAGACTGCTCTGGGCCCCCCTCCGAGCGTCGGACCGTGGCTGGTATTCGAAGGAACGCTGGCAATGTCCACAGAGCTTCGCCCCAAGTCTGGGGCCACTATTACATAATCGCCTCTACAGTTTAGTGCAATATGGATTGCACTTCGTGGTTTCTGATTCCAGCCCGTGCACGTTTTGGAGCATCGAGTTGCTGGGCGCCGTGCCTCCTCCTCATCTCCTCCGCGTTCTCGTCCCCTGGCCCGCCCCCTCCTCCTCCCTCTCCCTTCGTCCTTTTTCCTTATGAATGATTCCTCCCTGTCGCACCCCCAAGCGTGTCAGCAGGAAGGGCCCGACGTTTCGCCTGACACGTCCTCACGATCTATGCTCCTGAAGCTTGGCGTTTGCAGCGCTTTCGTGGCTGTGGGGCGGTTTGTTTTCAAAATGTGGCTGTCGCCGTAGCGCCGCTCACGTTCGTCCTAAACTTTTGCAGCAGTTTCACGGGCGTTGGTCTTCGAACTGCGGTTCTCGCCTCGGCGCCGTGCGTAGTTCGCCTTGACAGCTTGCGGTCGCTTCTTGGACGCAGGGCGGTTCCTTTTCAATCTGTGGCTGCCGCCGTAGCGACGCGCACATGGTTGGCGATCATTCGCTTTGGGCGTTCCGTCACCACCCGGTCTAGCCGCGACACGCGCGGCCACGTCAACGTGGTCCGCTCTTTCCTTGCCTTGGTCGCCCCAGCACCTCAAGACCGGCCCCGTCCGCTTGCCCAGCTTCGACTTCTCGATGCATTTTGCACGCCACAGGCGCCCGCACACGGGCATCCTGCTCTGAGTGTGGTTCGGGGCTCAAGAGACAAGGTCAATGCAAACGGGGGTCAGCCAGGGCACCGGGTCCTACAGGATCCTGCGAAGACCCCCTCTGGCTGTCCCGGGTTAGCGAGCCGCTCGTGGCCGCGAGGCGGCCGTGCATATTGGCTGACCCGGGTTTGCGAAGACCTGCGTTGCAGTTTTTTTTTTTTTTTTTTTTCTTGCATTGCAGTTTTTGGTTTCCTGCTGACCCGGGTCAGAAGATCCCCGAGTGGTCTCTCCCCCTCCCCGCGTTTCCCGCCCGCGCGCTCCCGCCCCGCCGCGCGCCTCCTGTGCCCCAAGGGGTCTGTCACTGCGCCCTGCGCCCCAGTGCCTTAGCATCGCTCGGACGTGTGCATTTTTCCTTCGGCGAGGGCCATCGAGGAGCATCCTTGATCATCTGGCGAAAAAACCACGCACGAAACCGAGCAAAAACGCAGGGAGTGGACGTCCGAGCGATGGCGAGGTGCATGCTGATCGCTTCTTGGAGGCACGTCGCCGCCGACCAGAGAGTACTGCAACACCGCCGGTGCGTCTGGAGTTCGCACTCGTCCTCTTCCTCCTCTCATTCATCCCTCCTCTCATTTTACCTCTTCCTCATCTCATTCATCCCTCCTCTCATTTTACCTCGTCCTCCCCCTCCTCCCCATCCTCGTCTCATCCCTCCCTCCTCCCATTTGCCTCATCCTCCGCCTCTTGAGTCCACGGTCAGGCAGGATGTCGAGGTGGAGCGCGCCGTCACTTTCCATCGCCGCGACCTGGTCGACCATACAATTTCCAAGTGGAGGTCACTTTGGGCACCCTTGCGAGAAGCAGTTGGCGCAGTTCAAGATGCATGTCGAATCGATCGGAAACGTGTCGATGTGGACTCTCTGCCTGATATTACAGGGGAAACAATCCGCGAAGCTGCCGGACGAATGCGATCAGGCACAGGATTTGGAATTGATCGGACGACGCCCGTCAATATCGAACGACTCGCCTTGTCAGCTTCAGATGTTTTCGCAAAGGTTTATACTATTCAATCGCTTCGATCATTCCGCCGGCCCATATTGCGCACCGCGGTCGAGGGGAGCTGCAGTGAACTGGCCCTGCAGCAATCTTTGGGGCCTCTTGGGGGGCCTCTTGGGAGCCTCTTGGGGTTCTTTGGCGGCGTCTTGTGGGCCCCTGCAGCCTCTTGGGGGGCTCTTGGGGACCTCTTGGGTCAGGAGAGGGGGTAGTCGACTGCGCCCCTCCCCTCCGAGGCCACCATCCTCGTGAGGGGTGTCGAAAAATTGCCCAGTCTGGCATCTCTGATCCGAGTGTCCTGGGGGTGTTCTGGGGGTGTCCCGGGGGTCTCCCGGGGGTCTCCCCGGGTACTCTTCGTCCGGGGACCCCCAGGGGCGGCCCCGCGCGCGCGAATTAGAATATTGCTAACCAGTTACCGGAGATCTTAGCACGCCCTTGGCCCGTTGGGCCGGCGAATTATCGGGCCATGTGACCACTTGGCCACATCAGAGGATGGCCGTGCTCGGACGCCTTCTACAGAAGAATATGGAAAGCGATCGCATCATCGGGCTGCTGTCGATTTCCAGTCGGCTGAGGTCCTTGGTGTGAGAGCTGGTTGTCCAAGGTGGGCAGAGCCGCCGCGGTGCGCGGCAACGCTGCGCTTCGCGAGGCCCTCCTTGGGACCTTGCAGGAAGAGGTCGCGTCTCTGCTGCATATTCCAGCTTGAATGGGGATTCTGGACATACAGTGGAGACCTATGCCAAGAAAAACCCTGCTCGCCTCCAGGCTGCCCTGGGTTTCTTGGGTTTCGATGGTTATGGAAAGCGTGACGTTCCCACGCCAAAGATCAATGGACGTCCTGAGGTCTCAGGGTTGGGTTTCTTGTGGAAGGTTTCTTGTGGACTGGCCTCCACTGTAGACTGCGTCTACGATAACATTCGGCGGGAGTTCCTCATTCCAGCCAGCCTCGAGCTGGGATTTCCGGCCACCATTTTGTGTGCTTCGGGGTGGCGCGGAGTGCAGTCCCACGGCTCCTGGGACAGTCCCGAGTCCTGGGTGTTCTCGATTGAGCCCACAAGCTCGATCGTTCAGGGGCTCAGATCGGGGACGAGGTTTGGCCGCATCGTGACACAACAGATTCGAGTCAAGATCTCCAAGGCGCGCCCGAACATGATTCACCGCATGTGGGTCGACTACCTGGCACAACGCGCATTTGTTCGCCAGTGGTCCAATGTTCGCCAGCAGCGGATCACCAGCCTCGAGGCGACGTGCAAGGGACTGGCGGACATGAAGCTGTGGGTGGCCAACAAGGGCGCCGCCATCTGCACACATCACACCGATGCAGTTCGGGTCGCCCGAGCTTCGTGGATGGGTGGGTGCCAGGCGAAGGCGCAGAAGACGGCAGGCTGCTTGGGCACGGATATTGGTGGTTGGATCATGGTTTGGACCCAGAGGTTGCCGCCTCCTTGTCTTTTCCTGGTCCTGCACAGGCCGAGACGACCACGTGGCCATTTGGAGATGAAGCGTGGACGGGTTGGTCTGACGCTGATAGCGCAGCAGGTTTGATTCGCGATATTCAGTTCGATCTCGAGCCGCGTCTGGCAGGAGACCTCGGGACACTTCTTTGGCACAGGCACGGCCGATGGGGTGGCCATGGACTCACTCGTGCGATTCGTCGTCGGTTGCTGTCTGTGCCTCGCGGCCGTCGCGTCGCAGAAGTGTTCGTCGCTATTGCAACGGGGGCTTCCTGGCCAAGGGAGCGACGTGCCGAGGCAGCTGCGCGCAGAGGCGTGGTGCGTCCGACCTGGGCCCAGGGCTGGAGTTAATCGGTGTTTTGGCGATTTCTTGGGCCGTTTTCGTTTCGATTTCGTTTTGCGGTAAAGGCGGATTGAAGACAAAGCGGGGGACAACGAAAACAAAACGAAACCGAACAACACCGTTTAGGTTCAGCCCTGCCTGGGCCCAAGGTGTGGGACAGATAGTGGACACCATGTATCATCGAGGGCGGAGCTGCTCGTGCAACGTCGACGCGGCAGTCTACACCTACTCAGAGACGTAGATAATCGAGGACGAGGTACAGCATCAAGCAGACGAGCGTTTCTGGCTTTCTGGTCTGATTCCGTCTGCCGGGCTTGCAGTGTCCCCTGCTGCACAGGACGTTTCTCTAGGACGTTCCATCATATGTATAAGACGCACTCGCTCTCGGTTTGGGCACAGCGCAGGATCCTACCGTTCTGTGTGGAGACGCCAGCGGTGGCGCCGACTCTAGAACCAATCGCTTTCGACGAGTCGGGCTGGCCGTAGGTCAATTATTGTGAAGACCTGACGGCCGGTGCCGCCGACCCTGAAAGACCTCGACGACGACGAGGAGGGGGAGGAGGAGGAGAAGGAGGAGGAGGCGGAGATCAGGAGGAGGAGGAGAAGGAGGAGGAAAAGGACTCCCCCCTGGGACCACCCCCTGGGGAGGAGGACAGTTATTTTCCTTGGAGCCTCTCGGAGGCGGTGCCGCCGCGTCGGGACCGCGGGCCGACGCCGGGCAGGCAGTGCTTCGAGGAGAGCGCCGGTCACTGCTATGAGCAGTGCAGTTGGCTTGAGTCGGGAGTCTTGGGACGGGGGTCAATGCAAACGGGGGTCAGCCAGGGCGCCAGATCCTGCAGGATCCTGCGAAGACCCCCTCTGGCTGACCCGGCCGCTCGTGGCCGCGAGGCGGCCGCGCATATTGGCTGACCTGGGTTTGCGAAGATCTGCGTTGCAGTTTTTTTTCCTGCATTGCAGTTTTTGGTTTCCTGCTGACCCGGGTCTGGATTGACCCGGGTCAGAAGATCCCCGATTGAGGCATCGCGGTAGTTGTGTCGGACAACAGCGGAGTGGCCGACCGGTGGGCGGAGCGCCGATTCCAATGCCCACCGGGGCCCGACGCTGACCGCCTGGTGGGAGATCGGCAGGCGGTTTCAAGCTAGATGTTCTTCCTCGTCTGCTGTGCTGTTCACCAACTCGCACCGGGGATCTGCAGAGCGAGCTCGTGACACCGTCCTTCCGTGGATCGTGCAAGGCAATTTTGCCGTGGAGACTCTAGCCAGGGCTACCTCCGACCGAGCCCGCGTCCCCGAGGTTGAATAGTACAGATATATTCAAGTTGAATGCAACGCTTTCCTCGTTCGTGCGAGGCTGCTGCGCGCCATGATCGACACATGTTGGAAAAAAGAGAAGGAGCTTGAAGGCGGGATCCCCAGGAATAATTCTGAGCGGCTCACTAATATTTATGGGGTCCTGTTTAGCTTGCCCAAATGGCTGAAACTGCATATAGCGGGGGGTTATGTACATAGTAGTTATCGGATGCGTGTACATCATGGGTTTTCATTGTGGTTTGGCTGTGAGTGCGGGTATGATGTGAGTCAGTATTTGCGAGGCCTTGGGCAGATATGCCATAAGGCCACGAACCCCGATCGAGCTTACTAGAATGGTAATACTATCGCAGGGCGGTGGTAGAAGGTCCTCGGCCATACCGGGTTGGCTCGTCGGGCTTCGTAACGTCACCCGAACTCGCTTCGCGACCGTTGTCACTCACTCACTCCTGCGTACGTCCTTTCCTCCTTCGCTGTATTCCCAACTGGTTGGGATGATGCGGAGGAGGAGGAGGAGGAGGAGGAGGAGGAGGAGGAGGAGGAGGAGGAGGAGGAGGAGGAGGAGGAGGAGGAGGAGGCGGCGAGGAGGAGGAGGCGGAGGAGGAGGCGGAGGAGGAGAGGAGAGGCGGAGGAGGAGAGGAGGAGGGGGAGGAGGAGGAGGAGGAGAGCAGAATTGAGTATGATCCTCCTCGGCCTCCTCCCCCTGTCTTTTCCTCGGTACCCTTATACCTGCAAGCCTGCGGTGAAGAGAAGTCCCTTGCTGGGGATGGGCTCTTCCCCTTCATCACCTTTCCCCTCTTCCCCTTCTCCCCTCCCCCCCTCCCACTTCCACCCGCCGGCATGGGCTCCGTGAGTCCCCCCCCCTTCCTCGGCCTCGTTCCCCCCCCTGGTCCTCTCCTCTTCTTCCTCTTTCTCTTTCTTTTCATTCTGGGGGCAGGGGTCTGCCTGACTGCGCTAGCTTCGCTGTCACACGTGGCCACGGGCCGGCGCTGACGCGGGCCGGCCCGGGGCCGCGTCGTGATGCCGGGGCTGGCCACCGATCAAGCAGTGGCGAAGCGTCCTGGCTCGCCTATAGGCCCGCCAAAGAATGTTCAAGCAAACTTCTGAGGCCTGCACGACATGTTCTGCGAACATGTTTGGCTGGGGATGTCTTGCTTGAACTCGTCGGGCTTATGTTCTGAGAACATTGTTTTTGTTCTTAGAGCATTTTGGGGTTCTAAGAACATTCCGTGGTAGGCCTATCGGAATGCTGGGACGGTCGGTCCCTGCTCAAGCCAGGCAGCTCCCAAGCCAGGGGGGCTGCTTCGCCAAACCCGTTGGGGGGATCCATGGGGACTGGCTGGCCGCCCTTGCCGTGACGGGCCGTCAGTGGCTGCCTCTGTCAGGGCGGGCCAGCGTTGCCCAGCGTCCCGATGGCGGAGCGAGATGCGGCGAGATGGTTGAAAGGGGACGATAGGAGTTGCAAGGGGAGGTCAGGAAGGGGGAGGGCAGGAGGGGGGGCGCGGCCAGCAGGGATCACCGAGGTGTTGGCGCCGATGTGAGGAAGTGCCCTCTCGCAGGGCGCTGCCTTGTTGTTCTCGTCGTCGTCGTCCTCGTCGTGCAGCTGCCTTTTGTCAACAGCACCTCGTCGTCGACGTCGTCCTTATTGTCCTTGCCGTCCTTGTCCTCCTCCTCGTCGTCCTCGCCGCTGTCGTCATCGTCGTCGCCGTCGCCGTCGCGTCGTCGTCGTCCTCGTCGTACTCTTCTTCGAAGTCGTTTTCGTCGTCGGGGAGGCGTCGTCCCAGAGCCCCGCGCTGCCTTGCTTGGCCCCCGCCTTCCCTTGCCCTGCCAGCTGGGACCGCGCCTTCAACGCGGACAAAGATGACGGCGGGTGGCGATGAGCAGGGCGCAGTCGCCACCGTCTTTCCCCTCCCCCCTCTCCCTCATCCCGCCCTCTTCCTCCTCCTCCTCCTCCTCCTCCTCCTCCTCCTTTCCCCCTCCGTAGCCATTTTGGCTCAAGTAAAACATTTCTCGAGGTAGCTTAGAGAGAACTGTCCCTCGACGGGTGTCCAGACTCGGCCCGCGCTCCAGGGGTCTGACACTCAGTCTTCTCTTGCGACTCCGCCTTTGGCGGAGCACCCTTCCACCACAGTGAAGTTTGCATTTTGCGCCGCTCCCTGTGGAAGTTCACAGACCAGCTGTAGCCATGGCATCGATGGTTGAAATCCAAGTCCTCCTGAACGGGCTACAGACTTCCCTCTCAGCCGACATCGCTGGGATCAAGGCGACGATCGACAAGGAGGTCCAAGCCATCCATGTCAATATTGCAGACTCCGTCCAGCAGCAGAATGCGCTCAGCCAGAAGATAGACGCGCACACGGCACATATCAAAGCGCTGCAGGACCAGTACTCATCAATGTCACGTCCGCTTTCGGAGGCCAGCACGGCAGAAGGCTCGCGTATCAAGAGGGCCAGACCAGCAGGTGACTACAACAATGGCGGTGGAGGCCCAGACCTACGTGTACGATGGGTGGGACCATGGCCAAGGCCCGTCCTCGCCAAGGTCCGTGAGGAATTCCACATCGAGCTGAAGAAGAAGTTCATCTGCCTCAACGACACCACGGGGGTCTGCCACAAAGTCGCGCCGTCATACAAAATCATTTTCCATCATGAAGAGCAGGCCAAAAAGTTCACCAAGGAGGCGAACGAGGCCAGCTCACATGGACGGACCCAAGAAACAACCAACTCCATCACCTACGGGTAAGAGGAGACCTGCCGCTCGACGTCCGCGACAAACCAAGGGCCTGTGGCAAACTAAACAAAGAAGTGCGATCCGCCGATGCCAAATCAGACAAGTGGGACGCCGACACGAGGCTGGGCGTCACTGGGTCAAAGGGATGATCTTCGTCTCCTCCCCAGATGACGTCTGGGAGATCATTGCAGTCAAACCTGAGGGCCCAGACAAGTTCCGATTCGAGCCGCAGGACGTTGCCATCCGCGAGTGGGGCATCGACCCCAAGGAGATCCATGACATCATTGCCTCTCTATCGCCAGAATATATGGAGCTTTGAAGTCTTTCCCAAGGGCAGTTTCATACGGCGCCCTGCGCGCCACAAGCAGGTGAGCATCAGGGAGGTGCTCGCGATCTACAGTCCAGCGCGGCCATCGACAGTGCTGCACATCATCTCCTGGGGCGGCCGGAACATCGTGGGGAGATACTTCAGGCCAACGTTCCTCCTCCTCGTGTGCTTCCGCGAGGCGACCCACGTGCGGATCCTCAGCGACAGGGGGGGCCTTACACCGTGATGCCCTTTTTGCCCGCCGCTGGCCGCTCGTTCAGTATAGCCTCTTGGATTGCTCAGTCCCTTTTCTGCTCCCAGCACACAGCGTCGTCGAGAAGCCAAGCAAAATTTCGGGGTCTCCAGCAGATATTGAAAACATCATGCTGTTGTTTGTGTTTAG